ATCTACAAACCATGTGAGTTACCAAGCCAGATGTCCCAGGCCTCATGCTGTGGTCTGCTGCCTGCATCACATTGACGTCACCGACGATACTGCTCGACTTCATGACGTCACGATGTCTGCTGACGTCACCTCACGATGTCTGCCTGACGTCACCTCGAGATGTCTGCTGACGTCACAGTGCTGCTGACGTCACCTCGCGACATCACGCCTGACATCACATGATGTCACATCGAGTGTTTCTAGTAATTATTTCAGTATTGTCGAGAAGATTGAGAGAAAATATATGTCGTGTGTTAATTAATTCCTCTCAGTCAGTGTTCTCACATGTTAGTGTACTGCGGGTGTGTGTAGTTTCCGTGTGTCCAGTGAGGTCTGAGCCAGACCTGAGTAGCACCACTGTGCTAAATCACCTGTGTGACCAGTGCGTTTGACAGCATCAGTCCCTGAGTGACCGAGCCCTCTTGTACAGAAAGCTTTTATGCTCGTCGCTCGTGATGTTCTGCAGAATCGTACCTGCTACGATTCCCATCGAGATTTGTTTCATTTCACCTCCAGACCGTCAGAGTGCAGTTATATGTAGAGAAACAAGTCTGGGGATGTTTAGACTAACCTCTGCTATAACTCCAACTGCCGAGAGAATGACACTCGCCAAGCCGCAGTTAGCCACTGTCGGCAGGCGCTGTGTCAGCCTCGTGTCACAAGCTTCAGTGAGCAGCCTGCACAAAGATGATGTCACTTTGACTGCTAGCTCGCTCACTGCAGTCTGGTGTATGATGTTACGACTCCCAGATGTTTCGCCCAGTCGTCTCTGCCACGGCTTGCTCCACAACTCATTCCACGCTCGCCGGCAGTGACAGCCCAGTGACAGTACCAGTCTAGAAGTGTCCTCCTGAGTCGCTTGCCAGAAGTCCTGCCCAGTTGCCGAGTTTTGTCGACGCCTCACTCGAGGGCACCAGCATGTGCCCCAGGTTGAGTGAAACCTGCAGCGACTCCTACGATGACTGCTTCACCGTTCCAGAGGAGACCGTATCCTGTTATGCTACAGCTCAGCCGCAGCGATGTCTCCTGTGTTGCAGTATCTGTCCAGACGCAGGAGGGCGTGCAGTGATGCCCTTCGACGCTCACTGTCTATGACCATGATGTTTAGCACACCCTACATGTTTTTTTCTTCCCTCCCTGTAAGAAGTTTTTTTTTTCCATGTTCATATGTATATATATGTTTTTATTTTGTGTTCTGTGCCCTGTGCCTACGAGAGAGAGACCGAGTTCCTTTTACCACCAGTATTGTCGCGTTGGGACGACGCGCGGTAGGTGGCCGAGCGTATGTAGACAGCCTGTACTGTCTGCACAGACAGCCTATGCTGTCTGCCAGCTTAGTTCATATTTTGCGCCACTCAGATGCTGCCCTTTGTAGCCAGGCCTCTCGGTGGGCACGCCAGCCTGCTGGCCCTTGCCACGCTCTCACTCACACAGCGGGCTAGCAGGAAGACACAAGGCCTACTCCTAGCTCTCTCTCGTGGCATGGCCCTCCCGGGCCATGGGCACAACACACAACCCTGTGTACCCACCACGACTTAACAATAAAGTAAGAAGCCTCCGAAGAAGTATATCATTTAACCACCCACTTTCAGCCCTATCAAACAAACCCATTAAACATTGGGTGGTACTGGCGTGTGTGGTGGTGTATGGTTGGGTGGTACTGGTGTGTGTGTGTGGTGGTGTATGGTTGGGTGGTACTGGCGTGTGTGGTGGTGTATGGTTGGGTGGTACTGGCATGTGTGTGGTGGTGTATGGTTGGGTGGTACTGGCATGTGTGTGGTGGTGTATGGTTGGGTGGTACTGGCGTGTGTGGTGGTGTATGGTTGGGTGGTACTGGTGTGTGTGTGGTGGTGTATGGTTGGGTGGTACTGGTGTGTGTGTGGTGGTGTATGGTTGGGTGGTACTGGGTGTGTGGTGGTGTATGGTTGGGTGGTACTGGTGTGTGTGGTGGTGTATGGTTGGGTGGTACTGGCATGTGTTGTGTGGTGGTGCATTGGTTGGGTGGGTACTGGTGTGTGTGGTGGTGTATGGTTGGGTGGTACTGGTGTGTGTGGTGGTGTATGGTTGGGTGGTACTGGTGTGTGTGGTGGTGTATGGTTGGGTGGTACTGGCGTGTGTGGTGGTGTATGGTTGGGTGGTACTGGCGTGTGTGGTGGTGTATGGTTGGGTGGTACTGGCATGTGTGTTGGTGGGTGGTATGGTTGGGTGGGTATGGGTGTTGTGGTGGTGTTATGGTTGGGTGGTACTGGCATGTGTGTGGTGGTTGTTATGGTTGGTGTGTGGGTTACTGGCATGTGTGTGGTGGTGTATGGTTGGGTGGTACTGGCGTGTGTGTGGTGGTGTATGGTTGGGTGGTACTGGCGTATGTGGGGTGGTGTATGGTTGGGTGGTACTGGCATGTGTGGTGGTGTATGGTTGGGTGGTACTGGCGTGTGTGTGGTGGTGTATGGTTGGGTGGTACTGGCGTGTGGTGGTGGTGTATGGTTGGGTGGTACTGGCGTGTGTGGTGGTGTATGGTTGGGTGGTACTGGCGTGTGTGTGGGTGTATGGTTGGGTGGTACTGGCGTGTGTGGTGGTGTATGGTTGGGTGGTACTGGCGTGTGTGGTGGTGTATGGTTGGGTGGTACTGGCGTGTGTGGTGGTGTATGGTTGGGTGGTACTGGCGTGTGTGGTGGTGTATGGTTGGGTGGTACTGGCGTGTGTGGTGGTGTATGGTTGGGTGGTACTGGCGTGTGTGGTGGTGTATGGTTGGGTGGTACTGGCGTGTGTGGTGGTGTATGGTTGGGTGGTACTGGCGTGTGTGGTGGTGTATGGTTGGGTGGTACTGGCGTGTGGTGTGTATGGTTGGGTGGTACTGGCGTGTTGTGTGTATGGTTGGGTGTACTGGCGTGTGGTGGTGTATGTTGGGTGTACTGGCGTGTGTGGTGGTGTATGGTTGGGTGGTACTGGCGTGTGTGGTGGTGTATGGTTGGGTGGTACTGGCGTGTGTGGTGGTGTATGGTTGGGTGGTACTGGCGTGTGTGGTGGTGTATGGTTGGGTGGTACTGGCGTGTTGTGGTGGTGTACGGTTGGGTGGTACTGGCGTGTGTGGTGGTGTATGGTTGGGTGGTACTGGCGTTGTGTGGTGGTGTATGGTTGGGTGGTACTGGCGTGGTGTGGTGGTGTATGGTTGGGTGGTACTGGCGTGTGTGGTGGTGTATGGTTGGGTGGTACTGGCGTGTGTGGTGGTGTATGGTTGGGTGGTACTGGCGTGTGTGGTGGTCGTGATGAAGACAAGTACCTCTGTGATGTTGTTCCACCAGGTGGTGCTAAGCTATACCTTTGTATAGTATAGCTCAACCAAAAGAGGAAATAAAGCAGATAAATTAATATATATATATATATATATATATATATTATATATATATTATATATATATATATATATATATATATATATATATATATATATATATACTGTTCATATATATTCCCAACATCAGAATTTATATAAATCATTTACATACATACAGAATTGAACACAAATTAGCCACATTAATGAACAGAGTTCGAGAGAGTAATGGACTAAGAACACTCTCGGCTACAACAGTTTAGACACTCATAAAGAATTACGAGAGGCTGTCTGTATGATGTGAGTCAACGAAAGACAGGAAAACTCTGGCTGAGTGTTCTACAACCAAGGTAATTTCACCAGCCAACTCGCCCTCACTTTGAAACATCTAAATGCCTGAGCACCACGGCTAACTAGACCGATCTACAGTGGTCGAATCATCGCTAGCTGGCTCCGGCTACCTGTACTTTTAGCTGGTTGGGATGATATGCAAGTGGCTTATGAAGAACACCCGCCACTGCACTAAGTGCTCACCACAGTAATAGATGGTGGTGGTGTGTGGTGGGAAAGGTAGTGATGGTGTTCTTCTATGCTCCTCTACTCACCCACCCACCTACTAACCCACTACCAAACACTCACAGTCTCATCCACCACCCCACTCACCCACCCCAGTAAGCTCTCAGCTCTCTGAGCCGGAGGTTCCCTTGACGATACCTCTCACAATCCTCCATTTCCGTTTTGAGTCATTCATTCTTTACTTGCCGTCGCTGCTCCTGGGCACACTCGCAGCATATATAAGTCTGCTTTCACTCTTCCCTCAAAGGAATCCAGCACCCTTTCTGTCCCTGCCTGTCCAGATCGCCCCGCTCTTAAACCCCTTCTCTCTAAGATTAAATTTCCGGGGTCCCAGTTTAACTTGTGCGAGAGAAGAGGGTGGTGGAGTCCACTGGTCCAAAGGGAATAATTCTCAGACTTTCTCTTCTCTTGCTTCACCTTCACTATATTTTTTCCGCTTCTCATGTATCGTCTCTTCCTTTTCCAAGAACTGTTGTTGTTGGTATTTTCCTTCCCCATGCTCTCCTTCCCTCTCCTACCTTGCCTCTCCTTATATTTGAATGCCGGCCTGTTTTTCAAGGAAATTCACTTTTTTTGACTGAGTGTACCCGTGGACCCACCCTCGGGCAGTGTAACTCTCTTTACTATTCCTTGCCCTCCTTTACCTTTCTTGCCTCTCTTTATTTTCTTCCTTGTCTTTTTTTCCTCCCCACCTTCTTCGCCTCAAATATTCTTCAGTGGGAAAATCGTCCTCAGGTACTCACCAGTGGAGAAGCTCTTCTCAGGTACTCACCATTGAGAAAGTCGTTCTCTGGTACTCACCAGTGGGAAGGTCGTCCTCTAGTACTCACCAGTGGGAAGGTCGTCCTCGTACTCACCAGTGGAGAAGGTCGTTCTCTAGTACTCACCATGGAAGGTCTCCTCTAGTACTCACAGTGGAAGTCGTCCTCTAGTACTCACCAGTGGGAAGGTCGTCCTCTAGTACTCACCAGTGGGAAGGTCGTCCTCTAGTACTCACCAGTGGGAAGGTCGTCCTCTAGTACTCACCAGTGGGAAGGTCGTCCTCTAGTACTCACCAGTGGGAAGGTCGTCCTCGTCGTCTGTGAAGTCCGAGGTCTGACCCACCACTGGCAGCACCTGCACCGTCGTCATGGCAGCGTCCGGACTCAAACCGTCCGTCATAGCGTACTGCAGCGGCCCGTCGTAACCTGACAGAGAGAACACCTTTGTTGTGGGTGGTCGTAACAGAGAAAATATTATTGTTGTGGGTAGTTATAACAGACAGAACACCAGTGTTGTGGGTAGCTATAACAGAGAGGACACCATTGTTGTGGGTCGTTATAACCATCGTTGTGGGTGGTCATAACAGAGAGAACACCATTAGTGTTGGTCATAATATGAACAACTACCACCATATTCAACTCAGTCTTACAAAGTGTATTTCCAGTGTTCAATCACACACACACACACACACACACACACACACACACACACACACACACACACACACATCTGTCTACTCTACCCACCGAAGACAGGGGTCCCAGGCTACCAAACACCTACCAACTCGCCACTACTTGAAGAAGAAGCTGTAACCACACACTTCACAGTGTAACACACTTCTTTAAATTAATCTATGGAAGTCTGAAGGTTGAAATTGTGATCTGTAATAGTAATTTCATCCTATAATTTTAACTGCACGTTAATGTATGTTCTGACGTATTTGAAATATATTACGTCTCGTGTTTTCCATTGTTTTTCACGTCATTAGTTTGAAGCCGTGTGAGTCGTTCAACCCAGAGACTGGTTTAGGCTTGATCCTCCGGCCGCTAATTGAGGATCTGTCGCTCGTTAGTCAGGCTGCTGGCAACTGTCAGATTTTCTCATTGATTCAGTCATCGCTTCTACATTGCAGCCAGGATGAAGACATCAGTGTTAGTTAGAACCAGGATGGAGACATCAGTGTTAGAACCAGGATGGAGACATCAGTGTTAGAACCAGGATGGAGACATCAGTGTTAGAACCAGGATGGAGACATCAGTGTTAGAACCAGGATGGAGACATCATTGTTAGTTAGAACCAGGATGGAGACATCATTGTAGTTAGACAGTGAGAAATCTTGTTAGTTAGAACCAGGATGGAGACATCAGTGTTAGTCAGAACCAGGATGGAGACATCATTGTTAGTCAGAACCAGGATGGAGACATCAGTGTTAGTCAGAGTCAGGATGAAGACATCAGTGTTAGTCAGAACCAGGAAGGAGACATCAGTGTTATTCAGAGTCAGGATGAAGGCATCAGTGTCAGTCAGGGCCAAGATGAAGGCATCAGTGTCAGTCAGACGAAGTATATCACCATCCTCTCCCTTCCTCTTCGTCTTTCTCCTCTCCTCTTCCCTCCTTCCTTGCCTCATCATTTCACTCCTCCCACCCACTCACCCAAATAATTATCTCTTTTATCGACATCTTTTGTGTTCAAGGTGATGCAATTAAAAACTGAAGAGAAATTAATAGCTGTGAGGCACAAGAGATGCCAGTATACTATTAGTAGTGGCAGGTAATAATGGTGGCAGCAGGTGGAACTGGGTAGTGGCGGCCAAGGTTGATGACAGATGGGATTTATTAAATGTTGGTAACTGATAATGGTATCAGCAGGTGGTAGAGAATGATGACAGCTAAGGTTGGTAGTTGATACTCAGTCACATCTCCTTACACGTGACCAGGTCACAGCCCAATCACACCTGTATTAGTCCCATACACCAGTCCTCCACACCTGCTTCCTATACCTGCCCCACACCTCATCACATCTGTCCCCCCACACCTGCTCACCTTGTCACCTGACCTGCCTAGCACCTCGACTCTCACAAGAGACAATGTGTTTTTCCCATGCAAACTTTACCTCAGTTTGGTGTTCTTTTACACATTCGTTTGTTTTCTTCAGCAATTCGTAATTACAAGAAAGGTCTGTTTGTAAAAGTGTTTTCATTTTTTCTTCTATTTCCAGCAGTAGCTCAGAGGTAATGAGACCAACACTGAAAACAACAAAGAAATTATTGAAATGCTAAGGTGACACTTCGACTCTTTGGTCGGTGAGCCATTAATCAGACTAAAGATTGGCAACCTAAATAAACATACACAAAGGGCTGAGTTCGAACCCCATTAAGAAGCAGTCTTGAAATTAGCAGGCCAGTGTTCTAAGCTCTGTACCATTCTAACCAAATAAGATTAACCCAACTGTGACGACAATTACAGGTTTCTAACAGGTGAAGTGCATACCAGCGATTTCGTGAGTCACTGATGAGGGCAAATGTGAAGAATGTACAGAGAAATTACACTCCTCATATAGACTTAAATTACTGGGAACGCCTGAAGTCCCTCGAACTGTAAGTCCCGGAACATAGACGAGAAAGATACAGAACTTACACCTGGAAAATTTTGGAAGGATTGGTCCTAAATCAGCAAGAGGCTCGTCATACCGTGCAAAATACACACAGTGAAAAGAAGAGGCACCATGTTGAGCTACCTCAACACCCTCCCTTCATACATAAGTGTGCGGTCAGCGCCAAGTCTGATTTATTAGACTGTTAATCAGGTGTAGTCTAGGACCGAGCAGCGAGGGCAGACACCCTATAACTGATAACAGCTAAACAATGTGATAATACATAACTCCGTCGTTAATATTTTAATTTTATAATAAGAGTAAGTTATTATTTTCACAGTTCAGTTTTTACTACCAATACTCTCCACTTTTTACATTGTTTATCGTGATAAAAATCTCAGAAATATTAGAGTTCATAGGTGTTATAAGATAGTGGTTTCCTTAAGATAACTGTGACTAAAAGATATTGGCTTCCTTAAGATAACTGTGACTAAAAGATATTGGCTTCCTTAAGATAACCGTGACTCCAAGATATTGGCTTCCTTAAGATAACCGTGACTCCAGTTGTTGTCCTGTATGAGTCACCTCCAGTTGTTGTCCTGTATGAGTCACCTCCAGTTGTTGTCCTGTATGAGTCACCTCCAGTTGTTGTCCTGTATGAGTCACCTCCAGTTGTTGTCCTGTATGAGTCACCTCCAGTTGTTGTCCTGTATGAGTCACCTCCAGTTGTTCTGTATGAGTCACCTCCAGTTGTTGCTTTGTATGAGTCATACTCAAGACGAGTCACAGCATCACAACATAGACCAGCATGGACTAACATGGACCAACATGAACCAACATGAACCATGTACTATGGACCAACATCGACCATGAACCAACATGGACCATGGACCAACACGGACCAAGATGGACTATGGACCATGAACCAAAATGGACTAACATGGACCAACATGAGCCAACATGGATCAACAAGGACTAACATGCAACCTTCCAGGAGCTTTTTAATATGCAGGAAATGTTGCAGCTGGAAAATGAACTGAAAAAAAATTAAGTTGTCTAAAAATGTGTGTTCCTGCAGGGAGTTACTGACACCTGCCTGCTTGGCCACCAGTTGTTTTTATCCACAGTATTTGCTTCTATATCGCTAACATTCGTTTATTTTATTATATGTATAGCATTTGTTTGTGTACGTGATTCTATATTTAGTGACGACAGGAAGATGGACCAGTACTAAGGTCGAGGTGAGATAGAATTGTTAAAATCACAAACATAAGCGGACATAAACCTAGAATAAGAACTCAGCACCAAAAGTGACCAGCTCAACTACACACCAGGAACCTTCACTAACAACACTGTCATACTGTCAACACTGACCTAATGCAACTCTCTCTCTCTCTATCACTGTCTTCTCTGTCTCTCTCTCTCTATCTGACCTGTTGACTTACTGACCCGCTGATGGCTGCTTCTTGATTATTCCTTCATAAATCTGACTCATCCGTTAGCTCATTAATGAAACATTTTTCTCGTTGCTGAGATTTTTTTTTTGCTTGTTAGTTAGTTACCATTTGGTCCTAGGCACATGTCGATTAGACACTAGGCCTGTTGTATGTGCATGCGTGTGTATGTGTGTGTGTGTGTGTGTGTGTGTGTGTGTGTGTGTGTGTGTGTGTGTGTGTGTGTGTGTGTGTTGTGTGTGTGTACTCACCTATTTGTACTCACCTATTTGTGGTTGCAGGGGTCGAGTCACAGCTCCTGGCCCCGCCTCTTCGCTGATTGCTACTAGGTCCTCTCTCTCCCTGCCCCATGAGCTCTATCATACCTCGCCTTAAAACTATGTATGGTTCCTGCCTCCACCACATCACTTTCTAGGCTATTCCATGGCCTGACTACTCTATGACTGAAAGAAATACTTCCTAACATCCCTTTGATTCATCTGAGTCTTCAACTTCCAATTGTGACCTCTTGTGTCTGTGTCCCATCTCTGGAACATCCCGTCTTTGTCCACCTCGTCTATTCCGCGCAGTATTTTATATGTCGTTATCATGTCTCCCCTGACCCTCCTGGCCTCCAGTGTCGTCAGGCCGATTTCCCTCAACCTTTCTTCATAGGACAATCCCCGTAGCTCTGGGACTAGTCTTGTTGCAAACCTTTGCACTTTCTCTAATTTCTTGACGTGCTTGACTAGGTGTGGATTCCAAACTGGTGCTGCATACTCCAGTATGGGCCTGACGTAGATGGTGTACAGAGTCTTAAACGAATCCTTACTGAGGTATCGGAACGCTATCCGTAGGTTTGCCAGGCGCCCGTATGCTGCAGCAGTTATCTGATTGATGTGCGCCTCAGGAGATATGCTCGGTGTTATACTCACCCCCAGATCTTTTTCCTTGAGTGAGGTTTGCAGTCTTTGGCCATCTAAACTATATTGTGTCTGCGGTCTTCTTTGCCCTTCCCCAATCTTCATGACTTTGCATTTGGCAGGGTTAAATTCAAGGAGCCAGTTGCTGGACCAGGCTTGTAGCCTGTCCAGATCTCTTTGTAGTCCTGCCTGATCCTCGTCCGATTCGATTCTTCTCATTAACTTCACATCGTCTGCAAACAAGGACACTTCTGAGTCTATCCCTTCCGTTATGTCGTTCACGTATACCAAGAACAGCACAGGTCCTAGGACTGACCCCTGTGGAACCCCGCTTGTCACAGGCGCCCACTCTGACACCTCGTCGCGTACCATGACTCGTTGTTGCCTCCCTGTCAGATATTCTCTGATCCAGTGCAGTGCCTTTCCTGTTATGTGTGCCTGGTCCTCTAGCTTTTGTGTGTGTGTGTGTATGTGT